AGTGGTCCTGTCGACTTCCTGTGTGATTCTCAGCCTTAGTGTTTCCTGTCTGGCCGACAGGTTCTCACTTTTTTTTCGACTACCACCACGTACTACTACTCTTCTCGCCACCGACCTGGCTCACGAATCTTCTCGCCGTGCGACTTCGCGCGCTTCTATCGCCACAGCTGGTCTCTCTCTGCACCCACCATTGCCCCCTTCTTCGCGTCGCCAACGTACGCAGTCATCGGACACCGCCAGCGTTGCCACGTCATCACTGCCCAGCCCCGAATCTTCACTCTCGCCTCTCTCCGACGACTCGCCCGTTGACCCACCTCCCCACTTAGAACCTCGTCCACAGCCTTGCTCTCGCTCGTCGTCTATGTCGAAACTCGAGTTCCCTAAGCTCACCGAGGAACTGACTCCAGCATCGGTCAACGGCTGGCTTGGTCGCTGCGAGGACACGCTCGAGGCCTGGCAGGCTCAGAATCCGGACAAGTCGATGTCCTCGAAGACGGTTATCACGCTTGTCGGACTGAAAATGGAGGAGCCGGCTGCAGCGACCTGGTGGAACGAAAACCGAGCAGATCTGAAGAAACTCGCGACGTGGGAGGAATTTTCACAGAAGTTCAAGGAGCATTTTGTGCCTTCGGACTGGCGCATGACTGCGCTTGCTGCGTTTTATAGCATCCATCAAAGCACGCTCCCCTTCCCCGAATTTGCTAAACAGCTCCAACGCGCCCGAAATACCCTTTCCACTGCCGGCGCCGGCTACACGATCAATGATTCTATTCTCAAGAACCATCTTCTTTTCCATTCCCATCCGGTTCTTCGTCTCCGTGTCTGTGGCCAACAAAACTTTGTGTACGCTAACATGAAGGTCGATGGGCTGATCGCCAACATGAGCGCGATATGGAATAGCCTCATCGCTGAGAAGGTCATCCGGCTTTCCCCTTCCACTGCTCTCCCACCCCTCACCATTTCTGCTACGCCCCCTGCATCGTCATCTTCCCTCCCCACACCCACTTCGGCACCCCCTTCTTCGTCCGGCTCCTCGTGCCCTCCCCTGACGTATGCCGAGAAAGAGGTGCTCAAGGCTGCGAATGGCTGTTATCATTGCCGCAAGACACCGCAATCGCCGGGGTGGATCAAGCACCGGAGCGACAACTGTCCTGGTGACTCCACGCTTGGTATTCCACCACGCTCCGCCCCTGCCGTTGTCGCTTCTGTTGGCCCTGTTGGTTTTTCGTCCATATACGAGGAAGGGTATGCACCTGTCGCTGCTGTGATACCCGCTTTCAGCGATGACGACGACGATGACAATCTTTCTGTCGGCACAGACGATAGTGACCTTGCCTCACGAGACTACTGATATATGTACTACCCTCTTGATTGTTCTTTCCTTCTGGCCACCCTCCTCATCGCCGCCTCCTGGTTTACTTGTTCCCCATGGCGCACCCGTACCCCACTTGTTCGTCTTGGTGTGTTCACTCTCCATCGGAGCTGGTGATGCTGGTATTTTCCCCCTTTCCTTTTTCACATATTCTTGGACAACATACATACAGTGTTTTGAAGACAGGGAGGGTGTAAACCCGGTCCCGGTTTACGGACTGATCCGACGCTTACGTAGTCAGTTGTTTCCTTGTCGTCTACCGTGTACTTGCTCCCCGCTTGTCCTCTCGAATCCATAGCGTGGTCCTGTCGACTTCCTGTGTGATTCTCAGCCTTAGTGTTTCCTGTCTGGCCGACAGGTTCTCAAATTCCCTCTGTATGTATATGACTTCTACTAAGTTTTGACTATGATGGGACCCAGCTACTGAGGACTGAATTTGTGCAGTTCTGATCATGGGCCTCCGGCCAAACCACTGGACAAATTTCAACCGCACTGGCAGCCGCAACTAAGTTCACTATTTAGGGCGGAAGATGGGCCTCCAGTCAGCTCCTGGAATAAATAAACAAAGTTTCTACCACACTAGGGTATGCAAACCAAGCAAGCAAGATACTACAAAAAAAAAAAGGTGGTGGCATTTTTCTTCGCATGTTTTGAGCCATGGCGCAAAAACACAGTGAACCAGTATGTTTGATGAGCAGTTAAACCTACCCCAGCAAACTGGTTGAAATATTTTGACACTCTTTCGGCCACAGGATAATAAGGGTTTATTCTCGGATTCTCGTCAAATTCTGAGGAGCCCGGTGACCACTGAACTCAAACCTACATTTTTGAGTAGCCCTGTCCTTTAATTTCCCGTAATGTGGCTTCCAGCGGCTTGGGAATTCATTTTTGTGCTCGCCGAGATTTTTTACAGGTGCTACGGACTTCACAAAACTATGTTTCTTCATTGATAATCACAGAACCTTGTAATTGGTATCAGGACCTTACCTGTGAACTGGTGCTCATACAAGTCTCAGGAAAAGTTGCATGATTGTGTAATGAATATCCCGCCGGTTTTTAGATCCTTAAAAATCCTCAGAGCAAGTAGAAATTGCCTTGCCGAGCTTTGGGTTGAAGTTGGTTTTGATCCCATCACACGGGAAGATATCTCGTACTTCAGGACTTTGTGACTTTATAAGCCCATTGCGACTCCCGACTAATATGAACTAAACTAAATACTAGGATAATTTCTTTCAGGCCGGAGTCCACGGCAGATGAGCTTGGAATTCTTCTGCAGACTAGGTTTCATTATCCCAAATGCTCCCCCCCAAAAAAAGAAAATCTAAATAACTCTATCAATTTTTTCTGATAATAACAACGGTGCGTACAGCTCAGTCAATCAAAGTCCACAAACTTGCTAGCAGCTCAAATACTATTTTCTGAGCTTAGCTGACCCCAGAGTGCATGTAAAACCCTGCATTCGGTAGCATCAATCCGACAAAAAATTGGCCGGATAAACAAACTCGAATGTGGAAACTTGAGTTAACTAAAATAGTTCTCTTGAAAGTTCAGTTGGATCACTAGCCTAATCAATAGGGTGGAAAAGTTAGTGTTGAAAGGGAGATCTTCGAGTTTGGGAGATCAATTGGAAGAAAAAACATGGGCTGGACGAGTCAGACCAAAAAATGCGAAGTTGAATGATGAATCAGGCGAAAGTTTATTTTTGAATCAATACCATTGTAGGCTGACAGTGGAAATTCGACGCAGTTGAATCAGTTGTCTCAGCAACTATTTTGGAAACATATTCAGGACATGGCCGCGTAAAAAAGATGGATTGTTTTCGGGCGCAGGCGGGCCGTGACAGCCGGATCGGGTGCAATTACCAGCGTCTCGAATTTCTGGTTTTTGCCCTTCTCCAGTATGTATCGAACAAAAACTGTACATCAAATTCGGTTACCATTGTCGTTTCCAGAGGCAACCGGATCTCGATCACAAGTTTACAAATTTGCACCGGCTCGAATTATTGATTTCAGACCTGGAACCTAAGTCGGTACCAGGAATTACATGTTTCTACACCGAATTTCGAGTTAGAAAATAATAATAATTTCAGATTCGGATTCAGCGCCCAAGAAAACTTAAAGACCGGGCTTGATGTACTTTTCAAGATTCCGGCGTGCCTCTTGGTTTACCAGCTCCACTGTGAACTAAGCTGTTTGGATAAAATATTGACAGCCCAAATTTATACTCATATCTTGAAAGTACTGCCGGCGCATCCCAATATTTTGCAGTAGCTTCTCAGAAGCTTCTCTGAGTGTAAAACTCACGAAGCCGGCATTGTAAATGTGTTTTTGATCCAACAACGGAAAATCTAAGTCAAATGCGACCTACAGCGTTTGGAATCGCGGAAGAAGTCGGGGAAAATAATACTATCGGATCATGGCATGGCCCGTCCTTCCTGTATCTTGAGCATCTCCCCACGATCTACCAAGGCTTCATACAATTATTTTCAGGCTAGATTGGTGCGGAGGTTTTATTCCAACTGCCTGTGTTTTTAACCTTGTCGCCGGCTGAATATCTTCGGAGGTAAGCGAGAAATTAAGTGAGCTTGGGCTCGAGTCTGCTTCCCAAAGTATAATGATTTACTTGAATGCACAGAATGACACCAATTCAAAAAAATTCAACGTGACCAGCATTAGAAATTAGAAATGTATTTTCGTTCCAGAAACAAAGAAATTATATATTGCTTTAGATAAGTTTGAGGACGAGGTCCGAGCAAAAAAAGATGGAGGACTCCAACCCCGTCTTCCCGTTGTCACTGGAAGAGCTTGAAGATTGTAGGGATGATCCGATGAAGCTTTATATATATGCCTCAGTGTAGTACTTCACAGCTCGAACTAAGCCCGGCAACTCCTGGCTGATGAACCGAGACGAAAATTAAATTAATCCGAATTCCCCTTTACTTGCAAAGGTCTAATTACTAACTTCGATGCCCAGAATGACTGAAAATGTTCGAATGTAAATGAAGACAAGATGTGGAAAGAAACGGAGGAGTAAAAAGGCATTTTCGAGCCCCATCCCATGCGTTGAGGAGGATTCGAACCTCCGGCTTCTCATTCTAGAGGGATGAAGGTAAAAAGAATGCGGCGGGAGAACATCACAGAGTTTCCCTCACCAACGCTTATTCTCTCCATTCAGAGGTTGGATAGATGCGGTGATTTCTACGCAAGTGGGTGCCTGTGCCTCAGCGACTCAACATCCGATTTGGCGAATTAAAATAAATGAGCTTGAGCTCCAATTTCGCCAGTTCTATATCATTGGTTGAACGCAGAGCGGCCTGTTTTGAATTGAAACAATGATGAACAAAAGGCAAGGCAAGAATAGACTTACGCCTTGGTGAGGATTCGAACCTCCGTCTTCCCGCATACTCAATTACCAATTGATCCACCAAGGTAGGTGCGGTAATTTTCCTGTTCATGTGTTATGAGATATATCCGCCCCTGAATATCACGGGAAACATCCACCGTTAATACCAGTTGTAGAAATTGAATGAACTAGGACTCCAATTTGGTTTGGTAGCTCCACAAACAGATGTTTCAAAATAAATAAATAAATGCGGCGAAAACAAAACGACATCCTCACTGCATTTTCATGCCTTGGGGAGGATTCGAACCTCCGGCTTCCTGTGAGAAACCTTCTACAGGAGTCACTGAACAGGGATGATCTACCGATTGATCCACCAAGGCTTATTCTCTGTACTCTGGGGTTGGTAATTTTTTGGGTGCAAGATCAATGTCTGTTCCAGCCGTCTAAAGCTACGATTGAATATGTGAGCAAACAAAAATCGAATGTCTACAACACAGACTGGCGTGGTTTAGATTGGAACAAAGGGGGTAAACTAACTAAGACAAGAACAAAAAGGTACTAAACGCCGTCGACGACCCCATGCCTTGGGGAAGATTCGAACCTCCATCTGCCGAACCGCACAAAGTATTGCGTCACTGGCCACTTATTATTTTCTCTACAGATGGTCGATCTCATGGAGAAGAACCTTGCGCATCCGACGCTGCGCGAATGGGTCCTCCCGAATTTCACGACGACGACGATAAACGATACATGGTCAGCGCGATCGTCATGATGGATACGCTGATGGCCTATTTTAACTTTGTTTTCTGCGGTAGTACGTGCGGCATCCAGCGTGTTACCCTCGAAGGGGAAAAGTGAGTATACTCGGCCGACTGGAGAAGTTGAAAGAGTACGGGATTGAGACAATTGCCTGGTATCATCTCCTGCATCCCGTCATTTCCCGATTTATCTCCGCCTTCAACGGGCCCGAAAGCGCGGAAAACGTCGACTTTTGGCAAAAGGTCGCGCACTACGACTGGGGAAGGAGTGGCTCGAGGTATTACTCCGGGTGGATTGACGCTTTCTGTGTCTACTCCAAAAAAGGCGCCTGGATCGGAAATGAGTTGAATACAGTGTGTTGAATTTCTGTGATCTTTCCGTATGCTAAAGTTGTATATTCAAGGAGGTCAGCTCGGTTGAAGCGCCGGAGTCCTTGACTACGAAGGAGTTCTGGGCCGCGTACCAGGAGCTTCCCGAATTTCAGCCACACTCCAGCTCCTTGAATCTTGTCCTCGACGATACGCCGTTCCATGTAGTGAATATTTATTCCACGGCCCCAGGATTTGCGGAGGTGGACGTTAAGCTGGATGATAACGGCTAGATGTTTGGCTGCGTCATGAAGGCGGGGTTGGTCGCTACGAAAGTGACTCCCAGCAATGATGTAGAGCTTTCTTCTACAGGCGAGGACGATACTGTTCACCCTGTTGCGGGATGGTGGATTTTCCTACAGAAACCTGTGGACAGTCTTTGATAGTGTACCTTCTGGGAAGGCAACTTGGATCATCGGGTAGTTTGATACAGTGCTTGAAAATGTCTCTACTTGGTTGCAGGTCATTATTGAAGGGCTGCCACAACGACAGCCGTGATTTTGTACTCAACTTGCCTACGGATACATTCGGGTAGGTACGGAGGAGATAGCATTGGGGTAATTAGAGTTGGGACGGGCAACGGTCAGGCAATTCACTCTTAATTGAATGAAGCAAGTTCAAAGCATCGGCGGAGCGTGGTTCAATACGATACTTGAAGGGCTTTGGATGACTGCCCCAAATTGGAAATTAGAGACGAGTTACGCAAGTGGGGAAAATTTATCAGACAATCCCCAAGTCCAACTCGTCAAGTGGAGGCACTTCTCTCCCCGCGTCGTCCTTGGCGTTCCCGACGTGAAAGACGGCGAGACAGGTTGCTATAATTATGAAGACCGTGGATTCGGATAGCTCGATTCTTGGACGGCCGAAACCGAATGTGAATTCAATAGGATCGAGCTCGGGAGAATCTCCCAGAAAACGTTCGGGGTTGAAAGCCATCGGATCTTTGTAGATGTCCGGGTCATGTGCAATTGACCTGGTTTATAGTATTGGTGCTTCGGTGTTAAAAAGTTCTAGTCAAAGGCTTCGCTCACCACAAGTTATATAAGACAATAGTGCCTTTACGAATGTGAAACCCATTGTATATGTCGTCTTCCGTCGTACTATGAGGAATAGTCAATTGGGAGCATGTCGGAGAAATATGCGTTAATAACCTCCTGGAGCGGTGGTGTGCCACCTGGAAACTTCCTTTTGGATCGCCGCTAAGTATAGAAGATGCTCTCGGTCTCGCATAGTCGGAAGCCGGCTTGTTCCGATTGCTCTGTCCGGCTCTTCCTGTGCTTTTCGCTGGACATACGGAAACAAGACCATCGCAAGGAAAAAGAAGGATGTTGCACTGGTCATCTTGAAGTGATAGGTCTGATGAGTGAACGAAACTAATGGTAAAACTGAAGTACCGTGTCCAACCCGCCAGCATATAGGGCAGCAGCAATGAATTTGAGGGCGTATTCCTCATCTGTGGTAAGTTTCCCGCTCTGAAGGGCGTTCGCTGTGAACGATGGCAACGCAGTTTTGGCGCGCCGACGGTTGATAATCAGATTCAATACCAAAAACAGGTGGATGTGATATACCATTTCCTTTAGCACGAAGTTATAGGGCCTATCTGTTTGATCGATATTGGTTTTTCTATATTTTGCCCCGACACGCTTGACTCGCGCTCCAGGCATCCAGGCAGGAACATATTTCACTTGAAAATAAATTCTTGATGAACGGTCGAAAACAAAAGAAGGACTTACACCAAGGTATAATATCAATGAGCCATGCGCCTGGTTTCGAAGCGTGATAAAAATCTTTGGCGGCTATCTCAATGAGATTCATGATAGGGTCAGTACCGTCAGTAGAGCATATCTGCACGACCGTTTTTATTTTGGAGATCACTCCATGTTTTTAGACGACATCAGAAATTTGATGAAATCTCAGTGTGACTTCTGAGTAACTTCACGCTACCCTCGACTTTGCGGCAACTCCCACACTTAATTTACAGATGCAATTTTCAGGTTAAAGAAGAGTCTATGTGAGGATGGTACTGGAATTTAATTGGGGTAAAATGACCGACAGCAGCACCATGGTCGTTCTTTTTTGTGTCACCCATTCCCCTTTAGGCTGCCCCAACATTTCTGGAATCAGGCATCATTTTTAGAATCAAACGGGCGTTTTGGCCCGTGCAGATATGCTCTAGTGTGTGTGATATATCCATGAGACATCTGCAGGAGGAATGTGCCAATTGCGCTTCAGTTCGCGTCAATTTATAGATGAGAGGGTAAGTCAATCTCAACATTCATATCTCAAGTCCCTCACCAGGTTATCTGGTTTGTCGTGAATCCTCGAAATAAGGTATCTGACCTCCGTTTCTTGAACTTCTAGCTGCGCTAGCCTTGGTCCCAAGATGGTTGTGCGCAAGTTTTTGCATCGTACGGAAGTGTTTTCCATAGGGAGCGAAGATCAGCTGCTGGTCCTATCCGACACTGCAAATTATGAGCAACGAGCGCGAGAGTTTGGGAATGATTAAAACTCACATCTCCCCGACGAAAGGCATAGGAGCCCTATCTGAATAAATAGAAGATCGTTTCTCCAGCAGATCCCTGCATGCTTCGAGGCTGTTAAGGATCACGATCTCTTCCCCAAGAATCGTCGTGTAGCTAATCGGACCTGGTTTAGAGTCAGACACTGCGTTCAGCGGTCCCTTAGAACTGGATCGTGTCTAGGTGCCTAGACGGCCAATTGTGTCTAGCCAACTAGACACAGTGTTTCTAGGTGGCTAGGCAGTTGTAGCCACCTCCTCAGACACCTCTCGACTCGCCCTCGACAAGCGGACATAGACCTGTCTCAGATGATCTCGGCTGATGCCGGGTCTAGGCGGTCTCGACTTGACAGGTCTAGGTAAATCGGCGTACATAAACGTCATCTAGACCGATCTAGACCCGTCTCACACTTTTACGGGTTTAGGGACCCGCTGAACGCGGTGAGAATTGCAATTGGTTATTCGGATACAATTTACCACGCTACCGTAAATCTGCTTGTATTTTGCCCAATAGCGCCATTCAAATTCCGCAGGTACTCGAGGAGATTGCCAATAATTGGCCAGCCACGCGGGCCAGGCGGTTTTGAGGAGCGCCGCGAGAACCAGAAAGAGAGACTGATACAAATTAAAGCACCGCAGGAGATGAGCTGGGGACTCATGTGGGAAGCCATGGATTCAACAGCGAATCATATGAATCGGCAAAGCACGGTATAAATCAAGGCCCGCATCCCAGTCAGCAGCCTCTATCGCCCGAGAACAGCGCAGTGGTACAAAACAGTTTAACGTTTACCCGGTTTATTGCAGCGAAGCGTGGACTAAAGCCGTAAAGTTTCCGTGTTTGGTGAGATGAGAGTGGCGCATGAGCGCTCATAGCACCTTGTTTGCCCTTTTTGGAAACGCGATCATGATCGACCGGGCCGGTCCGTCGATTGAATATGGTTTTTCTGCTTGGGGCACAACTCTGGGCAGGACCCGGTTTATAGGTGGGAAGGATATTTTGGGGCAAATTTTCGACCAAAAAAAAACCCGAAAATGCTCCCCCCCCCTGCTGAAAAGAACGATTTCTGCCGTCTCAGAAAGCGTGGGAAAATTTTCAAGTCCCGACATTTTGGCCAAAAACGAAATCAGGCCTTTTCGAGTCCATTTGGGAATCCGAAATGCCCGCGTTTTTGGGTGATCGGAGGCATGATCGCGGGCATTTGAGGGCATTCTCACGGGTATTCAGCCACTGTCAGCCACTAAATAAAAAGCACCGCAGTGCACTTTGATGCGTTTTAGGTAGGACTAATCAAGTCTTTCTCTCTGCCATCTAGACCAAATATGCTCCGATGGGTATGAGACTCATACCCGTCGCTGGATATCAGTATCGCCGAGGGCTCAAATTGATCCGAAACAAATAATGCCGTCGTGCCGAAGAGGAAGCCGGGCGCTTGGCGCACTGGAACGCTACCGTACACAGTGTATCTGGGATATACAATCCTCAGAAACGAGTACATACTATGATTTTTGCTCGTCAGCCCTCACACTGACTGCAAGCGCCGTAAATTGGTGGCTGACAACCTATCGGCGGCAAATCGGCGGCTATTCCCGGCGGCATTTGATGGCGGCCTCGATCGGCGGCATTTCGAACTCCCAAACTTTCTGGCCTTTTCACCTATAAACCCGGGTCCTCCAACTTGACGCTGACACCTTTTCTCCGGAAGCCGCCGGCTAGAGCAACGCTTGGATGGCAAAA